CTAAGAAAAAAAAGTAGGAGAAGCATGATAGATATCATCATTATGACCCTTTGAACTGGATGGGAATCCTGGAGTTGAGAAAATAATGTCAAAGTACTGTATATTCTCTATCAAAGAAGTTCTTCCATAGATTAGAGTTCTCAAAGTCCTCACCATGAAGGATCTGGTAGGGCTTGCTGTTGATAACTGCCTCTCCTTTCAGTTGTATTTTCTCCCAATTCATTCAATGACACCATAGGAAATTAAAAATTGTAGTTTGGGGACTGCTGTCTTGAATTGCGCAACCCAGCAGATCAGGGGTGGGATTCAAATTTCTTAACAACCAGTTCTGTGGGCATGGCCTAATTTGTGGGTGTGGCTTGGTGATCATGTGACTGGATGGATGTGGCTTGCTGACTAGGGGGTGACTTGGTCATGTGACTGGGTGGGTGTGGCTTGTACGTCAATATTGTATATTACATATATATATATATATATAAAAAGGGCAACTTTTACCCAAAATCAGGCAAAGCAGATTGAGTTGCCTGCAGAATCACAGATTCATTCACAGATCTACCTTTCTGCGATCTGCTGCCTGAGTCTGCACTGAAAAATAGAAGCTTCAGTCCTAAGGAAGGTTCGGCTCTGCTCTCAGGCCACTTCTCCCCCACCCCCCAATCCCCTGAATACCACCCCTGACTGGGCCTCAGAGAAGCCTCCTGGGCGAAGGCAAAGCAGTACAACAGCGATTTAGATTAGCTAGAAAGCAGAAATCTGACGGGGGGAGGGGCCAGTCAGTGGCACGATTTGCCGGTTCTCCGAACTGCACAGAATCATAACAACCGGTTCTATAGAACTGGTCCGAACTTGTAGAATCCCACCCCTGCAGCAGATGCCCCAGTCCTACACACAGTGACATATTGCTGATCACCCTGCCACAACCATTATCAAGGGATGGTGAAGCAAGAGCTTTGCAAAAAGTTCCCACAATTTGACATCTCCTGACCTAACATCTCAGCCCGAGCAACACCTATTTTTTTTTCCCCTCCTTGCAGTTGACAAACAACGGCGCAATGCAGGCATCCTTGGAGGAATCCTTGTTATTATCTTCATCCTCATGTGTATCTTTTTCTGCTGGTAGGTTTTTAGTCCTTGTACTTGTAGAACCTGGCTACCATATTGTGCTGTAGGGCATTATGGGGAGGCAGTTTTCAGCATTGATTGACATAACCTGTTGATTCATTCTTTGGGATTTTAGTCATCAAAACATTAGCCTGTGGTCACTTGACTGGGATTTTTTTTTTTGTCAGAAACTGACAAAAATAATGGGACAATGGGCTTGCTTTGTATAATGATTGCAGATTCATTTAATGACCGTGATTTGCTTAATAACTGCTGCAAAAAAAATCAGGTTGATCTCACTTAATGAACCATAATTCCAGACTCAATTCCAATCATAAGTAGAGGGTTACCTATATGTACTTCACTCTTTTTTTTTTTTTTTTTTGCTCAATTCCAAGATTTATGTGAACTGAGCATCTAATAGATGGCAATTGCATTCTGCACTTCTTTTGGATCTGGTGGCTCCCACATTTTAAGATCATATCTAGAAAACTATCCATACTACAGCTTTTCTGTTGGAATCAGATAACAAAAGGTGTGGGAAATGCTCCATGTAGAAGTCAAGGGCTAGCTTTCATGCCTAAGATGGGACTAGAACTCACTGTCTCCTGTGCAGTCCTGTCTCCTGATGGTGGGCCCAATAATCCCCAGCTGGCTTTCCTGCCTAAGGCAGGACTAGAATTCACAGCCAAGAGATTGTAAACTTGCAAACTTGTTCTGTGCTGAAATCCTTCCTTTCTGTAACAGACCACGTAACATAGTTCTTTATTATATAGCAATTCTGTTGTGCCTGTAGCATATCCATAATACAGCAGCAGAGCACAAAGTTCTGTTCCTTGATGTCTACAAGTGGAGTCAGTGAAATTAGTACCCAAAAGATAGTTTTGCTTCTCCATGCCCACATGAAACATTTTGGCTGGAGATGAGGACAAGGAGTGGTCATCTCATTTTTAAACCAAAGTTCTTATAAAGGCTAAATCTAATTGGGAAGAGAGAGAGAGAAGATTTGGATGTATATATTTGTGTTTTATTTCACGGACGAAACCACCCACTATTGAGAAATGTCCCTTGCATTTATGGTACATGCACCAACCACTTGCTGACATTCAGCTTAGGGTGAAAGCTGTTTTTAGAACATTCATTGGACAGCTCATACATCAATCATGAAGTAAACCACTTCCCTGAGACTCCCGTTGCAGAGTATAGTTGTGCATCAAGCTGATTGGCTGCCTCTTGTGTCAGTCAGATCACCATTCTTTCTCTCCCCCCAGCCCTTTGGAACAGTTTCAAAGGGGAAATATGTAGTAGGAAAACCATAAACGAATGGGGGAAATTGAGGGATTTGTAGCAACAGAAATATGCAATCACACACCTGTGTAATACAACTGTCCAAAAGGGGTAGATGGTGATGAGGGAGACAAGATGGTGTCTATGTCCATGTGATTCTAGCCCTAACCCAGTAACTGGTAGGAGTGCAGCCCTGAACAGGATATGGATGATGACAGTGGAAGAATACAGGTGGTTCTTCACTTACGACCATTCATTTAGCAACTATTCAAAGTTACAATGGTGCTGAAAAAAAGTGACTTATGACAGGTCCTTGCACTTAGGACTATTGCAGTGTCCGCACAATCACTTGGACCAAAATTTGGACGTTTGGGAACAAGCATTGCAGGGTCCTATAATCACATGGCGGCCATTCGCCACTTCCCAGCTGGCTTCCGACAAGCAAAAATCAATGGTGGAAGCTGGATTTGCGTAACAACCGTAAGATTCACTTAATAACAACTGTGGCGATTTGCTTAAGGACCACAGTAAAAAAAGGTTGTAAAATCTGGGGTGACTCACTCAATGACTGCCTCGGTTAGCGATGGACAGTTGGTCCAACTAGTGGTTGTAAGTCAAGGACAGTGGTGGGATTCAAATATTTTTATTACCGGTTCTGTGGGTGTGGCTTGGTGGGCATGGCAGGGGAAGGATACTGTAAAATCTCCATTTCCTCCCCACTCCACTAATCTGCTTTCCAGCTCCGTTCTCCTGTACAGGGCAACAAAGAAGACTCAGCCAATCAGCTGGGACTCAGGAGGCGGAGAATAGATGGGGGCGGGGCCAGCCAGAGGTGGTATTGGCTGGTTCTCTGAACTACTCAATATTTCCGCTACCGGTTCTCTAGAACCGGTCAGAACTGCTGAATACCACCTCTGGTCAAGGACTACCTGTAACTACCTAGCATGTACTAATCCTACCATTCATACATGCAGCTTAACCCCGGGTGTCCGGAGGGGACTGGAGAATATCTGTCATCCTGCTCAAGAGTTTGTTCAATGTCAAATGCACACAGGGGCACTTTTTACTGATTCTGAGATTCTTCTCTTCCACACAGGAGATTTAAAGAGTTGCAGAAGAAGGAAAAAGTGTCTCGGACGTCACGAGGTGGGAGCGAAATGGCCGATTACTTAGTCAAGCTCTTAGATGAGGAAAGCGAGGCTGACGACTATAAGGGACACGACCTACTCGATTCCTGGGCCCAAGGAAGTTACTCCCCCGAGCCAGGAGGAGGGTTAACAGGACAACAGTGGAGTCCGGAGCTTGGCTCTGAAGCCAGTCCTGAACCAATTCAACTAGCGGAACCAGGATCGCCCCCACCAAAGACAGAACCTGCACCTGGGGCACTGCCCCCTTCGGAGCCCCCACCGCCCCCACCTCCAGCACTGCCACCACCAGAAGTAGCGCCACCCCCACCTCCTCCACCTCCACCTCCACCACCTCCAGAAGGAGCGCCACCAGCACCACCACCGCCGCCGCCTCCACCCCCTGGAGCACCGCCACCACCTGGAGAACCAGGAGCTCCTCCTCCACCGCCGCCACCGCCGCCGCCACCACCACCTGGAGAACCTCCAGGTGCTCCACCACCCGCTCCACCACCCGCTCCACCACCTGCTCCTCCACCAGGAGAACCTCCCCCGGGTCCTCCTCCAGGCCCCCCCCCTCCTCCAGGCCCTCCCCCTCCTCCAGGCCCTCCCCCTCCTCCGGCCCCACCCCCACCCTAGCATGATTTTGGAATCTCCTGAGGCATTTATGGTCACCAATAAAAGAGTATAGTTTTCTTTCTCTCACGTTGATTGATATGAGTCAGGGTACCTAAATCTACGAGCCCCTGAGGAGAATCCATGCCTTTCTGAAGGCCTCAGCAGTCTCCCTCCCTCCTTGCTCAAACTTGCCCCAGCTATTCTTCTCACTTTCTACCTTATTGCTGGTCTGGTTTAGATAAAGCTTAAAGGTAAAAAGTTATTCGCAAAAAGATTATTCGTTGCCATGGGTAGAAAGTTGCCATCACAAACCTCAAGGGCACTAGACATTTTTTAGACTCAGATGAACCAAGGAAGGATTAGAAGGTGAATGGAAGTTAGTTGGACTTAGAATAGTAACAGTAGTATTACAGTAGTAGTCCTTGACTTACAGACGTTCGCTTAGTGACCATTACAACAGCACTGAAAAATGTGACTTATCACTGTTTTTCACAGTTACAACCTTTGCAACATCCCCATGATCACGTGATCAAGATCCGGATGCTTAGCAACTGGTTCATATTTAGGGCCGTTGCCATATCCCGGGGTCGTGGGATCAACTTTTGCGACTTTCTGACAAGCAAAGTCAATGGGAAAGCCACATTCACTTTACAACTGGGTTACTGATTTATCAGCTGCAATGATTCACTTAACAACTGTGGCAAGAAAGGTCGTAAAATGGGGCAAAAGTCATTTGACAACCGTCTCGCTTAACAACAGAAATCTTGGGCTCAATTGTGGTTGTAAGTTGAGGACTCCCTGGAGTAGTAAAATGAAAAGTAATAATAATACCGCATCTGGTTCTGAAAAAAAAAAACACCACTATATCTATATATTTATATATTTATAAATGTAGGGAAAGCAAAATTCACCCAGCACTGTATAGCAATAATATCACAACGTGGTATGGGCAGGAGTTCCAAGGTATTGATTGAAGAGTCACCTGCTTTTCTCAGGTCCAGTTTTAGAAGAATGTTGTCCAGCTAAATCCATCCTGCAGGCAGAGCACACACACATACACACAAAAGCAAGAGTTAATCACAAGCTCGTTACAAATATTCATCTAACATACTAAAGGGAATAATGAGTAGGTTGGGATAAGAGAGGGAAAGAGTCAATAGTTTTCAAGTCCTGTAGCTTAAGGCAGATCAGGAGGAAAGAGTTAAGGGGAAAATTTTGCTCAAGAGATTCCCACATCGGTTTCTCATGGAAAGAATGGAAAATACCTAGAATTCAAGTCATATATAACATACCAATATGTCTAGAGAAATGATTTTGTCCCGGGAGATGCTGGAAATGTTACTGATACTCCTCAACTTACAACTGTAATTAAGCCCAGAATTACAGTTGATCGTCGTGGCGGTCGTTAAGCAGGTCACATGCGACTGTGATTTTTTTTTTTAACCTTTTTCCCCCCTGTGGTTGAGCGAATACTGTGGTTGTTAGGTGAACACAGCAGTTGTTAAGCAAAACTGCTTTCTGCAACCGGCATTATTGCCAGAAATTGGAAATAAATGTTGAACACCAGCAAAACACAGTCTTTTGTGACCACGGGACAGTGCACAAGATGCAATTATGTGACTGTGTATGTGAGAGAGAAAGAGACAGAGAGAGAGAGAGACAGAGAGACAGAAGGGGAGAGAGAGAGAGAGAGAGAGAGGGAGGGAGAGAGAGAGAGAGAGAATGCACACAGTCATCAGAACTTACAAAAAGAGTTTCTAAGTAGCCCCTGGGGAGGTCATTTGGCCAGGCAGAAAAAAACTCTTTAAGGTTGGCCTTCCCAAGCTCTTAAAGTAATGTGTAATAGACTAGTTGATGGTTGTGTTGTATTCAACTGATGATGTTGATCAGCGGTCCCCAACTTTTACGGCTTGGCACCCCGGCAGTGTGGGGAAGAAGGGAACCAACCCAACTTGCACAAGTCAAGCTGCGTATGCGCTGCGCAGCTGCTTGTGCAGCCCAATAGTGGGGTTGGGGACCCCTGAGGTAGATGTAGCAAAGGAGACTGCGCTTGCGAGCAAAGGCCATCCAAGGCAGAGCAACAGGAGGGAATCTCCAGTTTCATCCAGACATGAAAAATGATATCTGTGGCCGGTCTCTGAATAGGTGGCCTTAAAAGTTTAATGAGGATGCTGAAGGATAAACAAAAGCAGTAGTAAGGGAAGTAATAACAGGAAGGAACGAGCTCTAAAAGCAGCTTCTAGGCCATTGCTTAATCATACAGGACCTTTGTCCGATCCAGTAGGACGCCTAGAAAAATAAAAATAATCTGAGAGCCTGAGACCAGTTCTTTGTTTCGAGGGAAGGCACAGAACAGATTTAGGTTTACGGAAGCAGAAGCCATGAAGAAGTTCATCCACAATTGTTCCCCGCTTTCTCGATTACACGTCATCCTCGACTTATAACAGGTCGTTTAGAGACCGGTAGAATCACAACGTCACTGTTGCAACATCCTCATGGTCACAGGATCAACATACAGAAGCTTGCCAACTGACTCATATTTATGATGTTCTCATGAGCAAAGTCAATGGGGGAAGCTAGATTCACTTAACCACCGTGTTACTAACTTAACAACTGCAATGATTCACTTAACAACGATGGCAAGTAAGGTTGTTAAATGGGGCAAAAACTCACCTAACAACTATCTCGCTTAGCAAAACTGAAATTTTGGATTCAACTGTGGTCGTAAGTCGAGGACTACCTGTATAGTATGTGATCTGAACTGCATTTTTAAAGGGCCCTCTCTTTGCAAGGAAGATAGCTATTGGCCTTCCTTGTATCTTAAGATGAGTTGCTATTGAAGTTGTGCAGAGACATAAAAAATAACAGAGATAAGTGGATTGTTCACTGCAGTTGTGGCCAGCTGAACCTCTAACATGTGAACTATGTATGGAACAGGAAGTCCACAGTTTCATTCTCACTTCTGCTGTGAAAACAGCTGTTACTTTCAAGCTTTCATCTCCTCCTCACCTGCCTTTTACCGTGGATTGACCATAAAAAGAATGAGGGCATAGTATATACATTCTACAGTTTTTATGTTCTGGATATGAAGTGAAAGAGAAGTAGGACTGATGGGAGAGAATATTTGTAGCTCACAGTTGAACTGTGGTGTTCTTTAAGCTTGGTGGTTTTCTTGCAGATGTTTCATTAACCTTCATGATGATGATGTTACCTAGCTGGGTAATGAAATGTCTGCAAGTAAACAACCAAGCTTAGAGAGCACCAAGGGCCCCACGGGAGTAAGGTTGCCTACATTGGAGGCCTATGATCTATGCATCAGTTATCCAAACCTCTCTCTTCTCACAAAACGTTTCCTGGGAATGATAAAAGACCCAGTGCACGTCATTGTAACCTAAGGAACCTGACTGGCAATCCTAGGATTTGAGGGATATGGTCAGAAGTGTCTCAGGTTGAAGGGTAAAGCTAGGAAGACAGTGATGGTGATAGTGGGATATGCATATTTAGGGATCTTCATCTGTATAAAACCCAGAGTTCTATTCCAGTAACAAGAGTACCAGTAACAAGAGTTGGCAAGAATGTGTGTGTGTGTGTGTGTGTGTGTGTGTGTGTGTGTGTGAGAGAGAGAGAGAGAGAGAGAGAGAGAGAGAGCAAAGGAGCGGCCCGCGGTGCCTCTGCTAACAAAAATGGGCCTTTTGGGGCCTGTAGAGCCTACTGCAGCATCCTGCTTGCCAAAACAAGGGGGGGCGCCCACGGCCTCCCCCTCCTCTGTACCCTGTTTTGGCTGGCAAGGTGCTACAGGAGGGTGTCTGCCCCATCTCCTCCCCCCCACCCCGGCTGCCTACAACGGACAACTACAATGCTGATCCAGCCCTCCAAGAAATCCAGTTTGACAACCCTTTTGTAGGTCATCCTAGCCCAAGCAGGAGACCCTATACACCATTTCACCAAAATCAACCAAATCACATAATAATTTAATAACCTTATTAATAATTTAATAACCTTATTAATTTAATAAGGTTGAGGCTGTAACTGTTTTTATATTCCACTGCATTGAAAAGTAGGAAGATGCTATTTTTTCCTTCCTTTTACACTTCTTTCTGCAGTTCTTTTTAATTTTCTCAGTTTTTGTTTCTATGTGTATTTTATTTTATAATAAACTTGAATGGGAAAAAAATTGAAAAGCATTGCTAATGAACTATAAATAAACCCAAGCCACCTTGCTAAAAGATGGTTTCATATGGAAGTTGGCGTGCAGAAACCAGCACACTATTTTTGATAAAAGGAATAAAAGCCAGGTGTTCAGACGCACCTGAAGCATGTTTGGAAGAGTTGGTTGCTCTCTTATGGAAATCCTGATGTGATTTATAAAGAAAAGGGAGCATATGTTACCTCTAAGCTGCTTCTCGGCTACTTGTAATGGTTCTCATGGCCAGCCCACCGCCTTGGCGTCGCGACCAGGTCCGTGAGATCTTCCTAGCCAGCCGTGCCAGCGTGCCTTTCTTGGCATGATAATCCCTTGCCAGCTCTTCAGGGGCTATCTCAATATTTCCTGTGTACCACATAATCCAACCCAACAGGCTCAGGAACACCAGCACTGCACCCGAGTAGATTAATAGATCCCCAAAGTCTCGGCCTCGCAGCCTCAGTCTAGCAAAGATGCCGGTCAGTAGTGCCCCGGTGCCTGCAGCGTCCATGAACACTGCAAATGCCAGGGCCAGCCGGCAACGGTTCAGTCCGGAGGAGACCATGGCACTGGAACTGCCAAGCAGGTGCACTTACTTGAAAGGAGTTGGGGAGTCCTTCAGAAAGGGTGGGGCGGAAATAAGGCTGCCAAAGCACAGGTTGCAATGACAATTGGCAACTGCAAAGGGGGTCCCTCATAAGCCAGTATGCAGATTTAACGACAAAGCCAGAAGAAAGGAAGGAAGTGGAGGAGGAGGAAAAAGAGCAGCAGGAAAGGCTGGGAGCATTCAGGCCGGGAGTGGAAAGAAGGAGTGCCCCAGTGAGTGTACCTAGAAAGTGATCCAACCAGTTTCAGAAAGGGAGGGACCAACAATGTAATTAACCCTCCTGTACCCTCACAGCTCAGAAACCTGGTTAAGCTCCCACCTGCTCATTACCCGCCTTCAAACTTCTCCCCAGGAACTCAAAAGGCCCGATTCCTAGGTCCTGAGCTCCTGTTCCCTTCCCACCACCAAATCTGCCTTCTCACACAGCTGCAGAGCACTGGGTATTCACCATCTTTGGTTCAAATAACTTCCTTGCAGAGGAAGTCTCCGGCTGTGTTTTTTTTTTACTAAAATCCCCCACCCTCCACCTTTTCTCAGATGCTCTGTTCTCCTCCCTTCACAATACACAGAGCTGTCCATAAAGGGAATCGCACTCACTGAAGTTTTTCAGGGCTGCTGCCTGTGGATCCGTGCACACACACACACACACACACACACACACACACACACACACACACCTGCCAGCCAACCAAGTACAAGGAAAGAAGGTGAAAAGAATTTGAGAGGGTTCAGTGTGAGTGAGGGCCAGATGGTGTGCGGCAGTGCGTTTTGAAGTCCACTTTTGCAAAGCTTTCGTTATTATGCTTATTTCATAGAATATACCGCAGAATATAGAGTAACAAAGTGGGAAGGGACTTTGGAGGTCATCTAGTCCAACCCCCTGCTAAGGCAGGAAATCCTATACCATTTCAGATAGTTGGCTTCCAATCTCTTCTTAGAAGCATCCAGTTTGGAGCATTGACAACTCTGGAGGAGTGTTGTTCCACTGATTAATTGTTCTAGCTGTCAGGAAATGTCTCCTTAGTTCTGGATTGTTTCTCTCCTTGATTAGCTTTCATCCACTGTTTCTTGCCTGGCCTTCAGGTGCTTTGGAGAATAGCTTGACTTCCTCTTCTTTATGGAAACCCCGGAGATATTGGAACACAGCTATCATGCCACCCTGACTCCTCTACTTTTCATTAAACTAGACATACCCAATTTCAGCAACCGTTCTTTTTGTGTTTATTTATTAGATTTTTATACCACCTTTATTAATTTATAAGTAACTCAAGGCGGTGAAAATACATACTTCTTCCTCCTCCCATTTTCCTCACAATAAGCAACCCAGAGGGGTGGGTTGGACTCAGAGAGACTGACATGCCTAAGGCAGGACTCGAACTCATGGACTCCTAGTGATTGGCCCAAAACCAACCAGCTGGCTTTCATACCTAAGGTGGCACTAGAATGCAATGTCTCCTGGTTTCTAAGCCAGCACCTTATTTACTAAACCAAAGTTGTGCTCCCTATAGAATTAGAACAACAGAGTTGGAAGGGACCTTTGAGGTCTTCTAGTCCAACCCCCCTGCACAGGCAGGAAACCCTATACTATTTCAGACAAATGGTTATCCAATCTCTTCTTAAAAACTTCCAATGTTGGAATAGTCACAACTTATGGAGGAAAATTGTTCCATTGATTAATTGTTCTAACTGTCACAAAATTTCTCCTTAGTCCTAGGTTGCTTCTCTCCTTGATTAGTTTCCATCCATTGCTTCTTGTCCTGCCTTCAGGTGCTTTGGAAAATAGATTGATTCCCTCTTCTTTGTGGCAAACCCTGAGATATTGGAATACCGCTATCATGTCGCCCTTTAGTCCTTCTTTTCATTAAACTGGACCAGGGGTGTCAAACTGGATTTCTTCGAGGGCTGAATCAGCATTGTAGTTCTCCTCCATGGGCCAGTGGGGGTGGGGGTGGGGGTTGGAGACAGGATGGATGCCTCCTATAGCACCTTCCTTTACTATCGCTTCTAATAGGAAAAGAGAGTCACCTTTCCAGCCTGGATATTATAATATTTTGTCTTCTCCAGGTAAGTAAAAAGATTCATTGTAAAATCCTAAATGGAAAATTCAGAAATAAACACCTCAACAGGTACATAACTATGCCAAGTAGTTTGAACTGCATTGTAAAAAAGCGATGACATGGACTATGATCCATGAAACCTTATGGAGTAATAAACTGGTTAGTCATTGATAGATCACAAACTTCTGTTTTTACCAATGATCCTGCTGTATTCAAAATCAAAGACAGAAAAACCCAACAGTTTGGATATGGGAATGAAAGATTGTGTTGTCAGGTTGATTCATGGGAAATCCTAAATCTGTAGCTGGTATTTTTATTACACAATCAAAATCACAAAGAGGGTGTGTAACCTTTAAGCCCCAAAGTCCTTCATCAGGCAAGAGAATGAAAGGCAAGACAATGAAAAGGAGCTCTCCATTCCTTTCTCTGAGAAGTACAGCCAGGATAGACTTTGGGCTAGAAGCAAGGCAGAGTCCCATACTCATAATACGTTGCCTCTAAATCAATAGGAGATAATCTGGAGCTTGCCAGGTACTTTAGACTTCATTTCCCACAATTCCTTGCCAATGGCTTTCTTGAATGAACTCCAAGACATTTGGAGGTGCCTGGACATCTTATTCCTGCTTTAAATAGTGGTCAGCTCTCAACTTTGCTTATCTAGTTGAACTTATTTTTCATTTCCAACTGTTTGGAAATTGAATGAAATGGAGCTATTGAAGTTTTAAGCATAAAATTAAATATGTGTTCCCAATCCATTGAGAGATCATCCTATATGAGATTGAAGAACAGAGTTACCCTGAGCAAAGGATGATCTGAAGAAGCTGGTCAACCCTGATAGTACAAAGATCCAGCGATATATGACATTGATGTTTGAATTCATGCCAGGATCTGGACATCGCAACTGATTCTTTATTCCAAATTTGCCAAGGTATTTGGGAGTTGCACTCAGGATAATTGCAATACTACTACTTAGGGAATCTCTGAGTTCAACCTTTGTAGACAGCAGTTGATGAAAGAGCTAAGATTCAGAGGTCCCCTTAAATGAGTATTAGTCCAGAATCATATGCTTTGATCTGAACAGCTTTGTGAAGTAGAAAAGGCTTTTTGATTATGCCCCTACAGGAAATAAAACTATTTGCATTTTAAATAAACACTGATGTTCCTTTTTAAACAAATATTGGACTGGAATTGGCTTTTTTTCCATCCCTGCCTAATGAAAGTACTTGTGCAACATGAAAGTTCTCATTCTTTCCTCTCAGACTTTAATCAAATATTCTTTCAAAGTGCTAAAATTTCCACAAACCTTATCTGATGAGTTGGTCCTTTTAAGAGATAAGTGGGCCTAGCAGAAAAAGAAAGGTCTGAGGAAGAGAGAAAATGTGGAAAAAAATCACTCCACACTAAACACACATAACCAAGATTTTTTTTAAAAAATATTTCATTGACAGTCATTTATTTTCACAAAATAATTTCTAAACATATAATTGAGATGCTAGCCTACATTCACAAGCAGGCTCCTGGCAATCCAGACTGGGAATATACATATTTTTCTCAAGCAAAATCAGCACTGGGGGATCATGCTATTTATTCTATATATAGCAAAGACAGATGTCCAGTTTTTCTTTTCCTAGACTGGAAAATGTCAGGAGAGTTTTTAGAAAATCAAGGAAGAAGTTGTTATGTCAGAGTTGGGAAAAATACAGATAGTCCTCGATTTACAACAGTTCATTTAGTTACATCACACTGAAAAAAATCTGACATGACCATTTTTCAGAGTTACGACTTTTGCAGCATACCCATGATAATGTGATCAAAATTCAAATGCATACTTATGACCGTTGCTATGTCCCACAGTCATGTGATCCATTTGCAACCTTCTGATAAGCAAAGTTAATGGGGAAGCCAGATTCACTTAACCACCATGTTACTAACTTATAAACTATAGTGATTCACTTAACAACTGAGGCAAGAAAGGTCATAAAATGGAGCAAAATTCACTTAACAAATGTCTCAGCAACAGAAATTTTGGTCTCAATTGTGGTCATAAGTAAAGAACTACCTGTATTGGGGTGTATCATCTTTCCAGTAACTCAGATAAATGTCTGGAATTGCCCTCAGATACTTGCCTGATTTTTTTGGGGGGGGGGGATTTTCCTTCAGAATTCATACTAAGCGGATAAAACTTTTAGGCAGAAGCTGTGTTGAACTTTAATTTTTTGATCTTAGTGCTTAATTCCAGAAATACTTATATCTCAGCACAAACTCAGTGATTGCACATATTTCTGTCTTTATGTATATGGTATACTGTGAGTGGTGTGGTGGCCTAGTGATGAAGATGCTTGTCTCCCGCTCGGAAGGTCGAGAGATCAATCCTAGGTAGCGTGGCAGGTGTTTCTCTCCTAGGATGCAAAGAAAAAAAATATCTGCTCCAAACTCCATGTGGCATCAGGAAGGGCATCCAGTCAGCAAATGCTCAGTTCCATCCGGTTGCCCCTAATTGAGGGATTACAGCAGCAGTGTCAATCAGGTGGCCCGGTGGGGGGGTGGGGGTGGCGGATGCATCATGTGCAGGCCACGACTAGCCCAGCTCCGCGAAGGGGAAAAGCATTGTGAAGTGTCATGTGACAGCAACATGACACCACAAATTTGACACCCATGGATTACAAGGTAGTAACAAGGGAGTTTTTCATACAGATGATGTATGAAATAATTTTTTTTCAAATCTATTGGGATCATATGTTCTTGTGCTGTTTAAAACTTGAAGCTTAAGGAAAAATTAGCACATCAAAACTATCTTGTAGTCTTTTGGCTTTTATATTTTAGCAAAGATCTGGCTGTTTTCTATTGCAGGGGTCCCCAATCCCTGGGCTATGGCCCACTACAGGGCTGTGGCCTATTTGCTTCTGGGCCATGTGAGGGCAGGCATACATGCATGCAGCTAGCTTCATGTGAGTGGCAGGCCGACACGGATGCACATGCAACACAGCTCAACTAGTTGAGCTACATGGACATGTGTGCGCACACCAGTCCAGCACTTGTGCAGTCCGGTTTCGCTCTCCCCCACCCCCAGCCAGGCTACCCAGCCAAAGGTTGGGGACTGTGTTATATTGTACACTGGACAGCAATGTATTGTAAAAGACTGCATTTTATAATT